TAATTTTCTATTTATGAAACATAATTTAAGTTTTATGAATAAGGCTATTGTTTAATATATTTCCGAATGCATTTAATCCTGCAAATTTAATTAATACTCTTAAAACTCGATTCTACGTATCGTGCACTTTGTTAAAAGGTATATTAATTCTTTATTTACCCCATCTTAACACTTGACTGATTAAAAAGTCTCAAATAGGTGGCAACCCGCTGAAAAAAAATTTTCTTAAGCCTTTTTAGTTAGATACCCGTATGGTGATACATTATTTATTTTACCTTTTTAATAATTGAGTAAAATTTTTCAAAAGGTGGCAACCCTCTTCAAAAATATGTTTGGCATTAAACCTTCCTGCGCCTCTTTAGTTTGATACCCATAGAGCAGTATTTAATTTATATCATAATTAAAACAAATTAAAATTTTCAAACAGGTGGCAACTTTCCACAAAAATGTTTTTGCTGTGGGCCTTTTTAAACCTCTTTATTTTAACAGCCATATTGCAGTATTTACTTTATCTTATAAATTTACTTAAATTACAATTTTCAAACAAGCCTTCGAGTGATGCGCGTACAAACATACAGACAGGCAGACAAAAAATCTAAAAATTGTTGATTTGGCCTCTGTTGCTCTAATGCCTATGTTAATTTTTCTTTATTATCTTTAATGTACAGATGTTACCATTTTATTATATGTATAGATTTTGAATAAATTTAATATTTTTCTCTTAAATTTTTAAGCGGCACGCAACAATTTATATTTATTATCTAAATCTGAAAACTCACAACTGCATCCACCGCGATTCGAGCTCGCAACCAACGGTTTTGGAAGTTGAAGGTCTTCTCGCGAGTCTACCTTCGAATTGTAAAGAAGTGTGAACTTTCAACTTTCACATGCTTAATGTGAGAAACAGCGCAACTAACACACTGCAAGTTTCAACTGTCCCGTTCTGCAGCCGTTTTGCAGTACTTCTGAAATTTGTAGGGCGGAACCAGCGCTTTGCCAGACTGTCTCTAAATTTTGCTGCAGGGTGTACCCACATAGATGTGTATGGGTATGTACCTAAATATATATGTATGTGTGCAATTGAATTGAATAATTGACATTTATCGAATGGGTGACAGTATTGAAAGGAAACGCAAGTTTGGGGTGTGACTGAGAGGCTCGCGTTCGTTTCAATGAGGGTTTCTAAATAAATAGTATTGTTTGATGAATACGCAAAATAAAGGCTTTGGTCAATGAATTTGAAACAAAAATTATATTTAAATTAGTAGTTTATAATTGAATACCTCCAGCGGTCGAGGATTATGACCCCAACGTTGCTGTTGCTTGACTGGCACCAAAGTTGTGGGCATTGAGTTCTGAAAAGGTTTTTTTATTATTAAATTAATTTGCGCATGTTACACAACTTTTTGTCCTAATACTTAAAAATGCGAACGTTGGTCTTATTTTGGCGGAGTCCAGGTAAATATACAAATATTTTTATATATATATACTTATACATATATAGATTTGCCAATATATCATCACATCATTTGAATATGGAACCTGCAAAGCAATTGCTAGAGAAAGCCTCACAAAGAGTGGAGAGGTTGTAGCCAACGTTTTTTTGAACAAGCATGAAATAATCTTCGTCAACTCAATTTACTAAACAGTTTTAATGACAGCAGTAAAAAAAAATACTCACTCCTATTCCTATTGGTGCGACTACCGTTTGGCAATATTTGGATTTTCATTAGTTCATTCATAGAGATGGGTTATTCTCTAATTTTATGCTAAGCGAAGGTGTAGGTTTATGTAATCAGAGAAATTACCCTACTATTGTGATGGCTGCTAGGAAGGGAATTGACCTCACCCTGACCTCCTCTTATCTAGTGGCCCGCATATCCGGTTGGATATCTTAACCTATAACTTCGTTTTAGATGCCGGTATATCTAGCTTTGCCTTAACGAAACCCGTTCTACAGACGCCTGCATGGCATTCTCTTAGATTCACCCGCGATAGGTGGGAATCTGTCTGAAGATACTTTGGATGAGTTATATAGTCGCAGTGTTCACCCCAGCGTGTAAAAGGACGCTTTGAGCAGACGCCTTTTCAATAAGGCCATAAAGAGGGGAGCAGCCTCCGACTGAGAGTTGTAACGGGTGATTTTTTTGAGGTTAGGATTTTCATGCATTAGTATTT